CGACGCGGTCGCGACTCCGCCCTCCTTCCGCCGACACGCGCATATGGCCAAGTGCGTACGCACCAGCCTAAGCACTGGGCCAGGCAATGGTCTAAGCTTAAGCGTAATTCAGCAGTCGTAAAATAAATTTTCAAAATCAGAATCGTAGGTCAGCGATCACGCCTCAGGGTGCTTGAGGGTGACGAATTGCCGAAGCCCATGCGTCCCTCTCATTGCTGGGCTAAAGCCAGTGCGTTAGCCTCATCACTGGGCTAAGCGATGGCCTAATATAAGTGTCTTCCTGTAGTCGTACTGGAGTCAACAGCGTTCATAAATAAAATATCAAAATCAGCTGAGTCATTCGTTCAGGATGATGAGTAGTGCGTAACATAATGGGCGTGGCCCAAAGCATGCATGACAATATGCGGCGTGAAGTTCAGAGCGCACATGGCAATGCGCGCTTGTCTGCGTGCGGGTGTAGTTACCGAACAGCACTAGTGCCAGCACTGGCTTAATAATCTTGTAAGATTGGAAAGACGAGCTGCCGAATGACATTTTGCAGAGCAATTCGAAAGTGATTAATTCCATTGATTCGACAACTTTAATGCCACTCACCTTACCTGGTTCACTACATCCGAGCAATAAGGATGCCATTGCATGGTAATTTTCTGCGATTGAATTCGATTCTAATAATGTGTGCCGGTTTCCCTGTTAAGATATTCATATTGCAGTTACTTATTAAAATGATACTGTCATTACGGTGATTCTGAAATCAACTTCATTAGTAGAAATAGATGGATTTTAAATGCTTAGTTTTGATGTGACAGACTGAGAGCATTGTGCATAACAAAAGTCATTCATCATTTTGATTGAATGCGATCTTGATCTTTCGATTGTAATGTGTTTTTGTTTGGTATGGCACATTTAAAGCGAAGTGTGTACCTGTTGAAAGAAGATTTTCTGGACTGAATTTTCAGGAGTGAAAAGGGACTGCTTGCATATGGTAGTCATTGCACGCTTATCACCGTGGACTGTCTGCGAAAAAAAATAATTCAAACTCTCGAAAAGCACAATGCTGCGATTAGTCACGTGGGTTTTATTCTCTAATTGTAAATCCTCATCGCTTGCTAATAGCGTTGGAGGGCATAATTTCTCGATGTAAGCCCAGTTAGTGGTGTTGGCATTAGAGGGTGGCTCAATTTTGTTGGTAGTCTCCAACGTGTTCACGTTGGAGACTACCAAAACTGCATTAAAAGTCATTTTTTCTTTTGCTCGGTGTCATGTTTGAAAACGTGATGAAATGGTGGATTTTATTAATGATGTGACAGGGTGAATCAGTAACTCTAAGAAATATTTTTCAAGGTAAGCTGGGCACCAGAAGAGGATGCAAGACCTATATCAGAAAGGCAGTTACGTTGTGCGTCTGCAGATATCAGTGGCTTGATTGTTGTTTGGAGTGTCTTGGAAGGCACTGTGCTCTCATCGTTTCGGCATCTTAATAGCGCACCTCTGAGTTGGTTTAACATCTGTTATTGTATTTAACCGTATCTTTCTTAAACAAATCCGGTTATCTATCGTTGAAGTTGTTTTCTTATGCTTATATGCCCGAAACATTTTATAACTAGTAACGGTTATTTGATGCCATTTAAATGACTCATTAAAACAAAATTTCGAAGGTCCTTTGAATCATTAGCAGTCTCTTTTATCAACGATGAAAATCTGTTTATTTGTTCAGGTATTGCCTGGTATCCATGGGAAGATTCAAGTTCAGATTTTTTATTAGCATTACATAGTCCGAACACTCTTGTCCTTTGGAATACGGCTACTGGTGATCGTATTTGGAATGTTGCATATGTTCAGCAAGTCTGTTTATTTGCCTTGGATCCATTTAACGCAACACATCTGACATGTAAGCAGTTCGTTGATTTATTCAGCGTTATCATTTCGAAATATCGTTGAACTATTCATTTCATGTGAATATTACCGCAATACTAAGGTGTCTGATTATTTAGTTGGATTAAGCGATGGACCTTTATTGATGGTGCATGATTTAATACTTCATAAACCACCTAATGGACAAGGATCAGTTTTAAATGTTTTAAAGAGTGCCGCTTCAATCGTACAATTACAATATCACAATGCTTTTGCTAATGTCCTCTTCGCTGCCTCTTCGACTGAGGTTATTTTCCTTTGATTCACTCAATGTTCCAGTTATTGTGGCATGTAAGCAGTTCGTTTACGAACTTTTCAGTGTTCTTCGAAATCATTCTTTCATGATATCGTTTCAAGTAGCGTTGTTCAGGTGGTATGTGTTGAAGCGGAATGTCAATGTGTTATTTGGCGTTATTCGTGCGAATCACCACTTATTAGGTTATTGTCGTGTAGTGATTGTGACGCCATTTTCACGTTGCACGCGAATGGTTCGATTGCGTTGAGGATATGTCGGGTTGCTGAAGACGGAAAAGGTTATTTGATGAGATATTGAGAATGCAAAATAGTCGATGAACTGAACGAAGTGAGTGTATGTTGAGGTAACCCGCGATTAACTTATGAACGTGTGAAATGCTTTGAAACGCAGCGACAGTCGGCCCATCATCGTATTTCTGCTGCTGCACTGTGTCCAATAACGCAGTCAACATTCGCGCTTCTCTATAATTCTGGTCGTATCGCCTTCTATCAGTTGGTTTGTGATTGAATCCTTCTATAAAATTGTGAATATTGCAATCGAGAGAATCATGCAAGAAAACAGTTTTAATTAAACGAATCTATTTTCAGTAGGACACAAATTGACAAGCGGTTTCTCAGACTGCCAAATTTGAGCGCAGATAATAAACAAAATTTAAATTTTTTGTTATTCCTTTCTCCTGTCTGTTTCATATTTTGTACAATTTGCTTCCTGGTTGAAGGGTATCAGTGAAGAACAAAGTTTACATGCATATAGAACAAGATTCATCACAGATTTGCTTACAGTTGATAACAATCTTGACTATTCACCTTGTGGAACACTGAAGTAATTTTCAAGTTTTATCTCAATTCTTTTTGAATTTCGTTCTTGTCTATTTATATTATCTTATTTCATTCAAATTTATTTTCCGAAACATGCTTTTTTGTTATTGAATTGAATCTTGCACAGAACACCATTAGTTTTTACGGAAGCTTGGGTTATCCGTATCGTGAATGTTAGTGCGTGATCATCTCCAGCCAGTTCAGTGCCTGAACTGCCTAATCTAGTCTATCTGATTCTTTCAGCAACGCCATTACTAGCATACCTCTTGTATTATTATATTAATTATACGTTTTGCGAAAAATATTTCGTATTGGAAACGGACAAGATAATATAACGAAAGAATCGTGTTATTGTTTGAGGTTATCGAATGTTGGTGAGATGTTCTCGTTAGGTCAGAGTGCGTCTTCAGTTCGAATGCGACCGATGGACACGTTAGAAGAGGAACATGCATTGCATCTGGCTGCTGTAGGCACTAATCAAGGAATCATCCATCTCGTAAACGTTTTTACTGCGACCATTCATAGGGAACTTCATATACACACGTGTCCCATTAAGTAAGTAGCTATTTATTTACTTGATTATAATTAACTGATAATGTTATAGCAAATGACACTTACTCGAATATCTTGTCACATATTCGCAATATCATGATTTTGATCATGTATTCTAGATAGTTAGCGTGAATTTATTCTTATCCATCAGCTGATGCACCTTTCCGTGTTTCCAGTTAGAGTTTTAGTTTCTAATTTTTGGTTTGTATTCGTACTGAGAAGAGTTTTTCTATTTTCGATGTTTTTCAGAACCAATGTCATAAATTGACTGCCGAATATGAAATATTATCGTTGAAAGTGAATAATCATTTATTGAAGTTGTTGTTTACAGATGTTTGGACTGGGGTGGTCCACATACATTAGTTTCTGCTGCTTATGCGCATTCGTTGAGTACATCACCGCTCGTTAGAAATGACATTTTTGTTACGGATATCCGAACAGGTGAATTATAGAAGTAATTCTATTGATCATTATTGAATATCTTTAATTATTTATCGGTGATTGTGATACATTTGTCTAGTTATGTTCACCGATATATTCAGGATATGTTCGTTCGAAACGGTTTGTAAGTAATGGCGTAGTTTGAATTTTTTTTCAAAGGGAGCGGGGAGGAGGCAAAATGATCTGGTCCAGTGTCCGGAATTTGGACCGATTCCTCCTTCCCACAGGTTTATCCGCAGTGACATCTGTCTTGAGAAACTCATCCACACCCGCGTGGCTCCCATAAAACGCGTATGAGTAAAGTAACAGTAATTCATCTTCATAATTTCCGAGGAGGGTGGGGCCGGAGCTAGAGGTGCAACTGAAACCACAAAACTACAAAGCCGAAGCTGAGTCAATTTTTTTCAAATTTGGGCATCACTGGTTATAGATATCCATAAAAATTATAAGAGCAGTCGTGAAATTAGAGCAGAACAAATATTTTATCAATCAGTAATAATGAGAATAATCCAGTCAGTACCGAATTTGCAAACCAAACAATGAACATTTGTATACCTCTTCAATTCGCATTTCGTCACACATCACTTCATTAGTTCCGCGGATTACTTCAAGGATTAGATCACGATGATGCATCAGTCAGATTTTTTACCCGCTTCTGGTGGATTTTGAGCCTCCTCCGACAAAAGTTTTGAATCTTTCATCACCGTAGCCCTCGGCTTAAATTGGTTTATGTTACCTTTTTCGAAAAAGTGTTTTAAAAATTTTTTAAATTATTCTCCCCATGGTACAAACACCGAGTGACGAACCCATGCGGGGGCTTCAAATTCCTTCACCAGCGCAGGGGATTCTACTCAAGGAGTCCTTCTTCAAGGAGTGGGTGTACTCAAATCCTCCCGCATGTGCGGGCTAAACAACTTATCAGAAACAGTCATGAATCCCCTTCCGAACGCTAGTCTCATCGTAGAAAATGGCTGTGGCAAACGAAGTCAAAATGCATGCACGCTGAATTTCGCCTTGGCTCATCTGCAAAAACGATGCTCGTACTGTTGACTGATTGTAAGTTAGGCTTAAACTTGTCGAAGGTTTAAAAAAAAAGACGTGATGCATCACGTGCAGTAGGCAGACGGTTGCGGACGCTCAAATTGAACGCTACACCTATGAATGAATTATGATTCTAAGGCAATAAAATGTTTCTTTCCTCTCCCGTTCCTCCTCTTATCCTTTCCTTTTCCATTTTCTCCCTTTCTCCTCTCTTTCCTCAACTTTTCCCTTCTTTATATCTCTTTCTTTTATTTTTTCTTCCACCCTCCAAGGTGGAGGGGAGTGCGCAACCTGCATTCCCTCTAGCTACGCCATAGTAATTTGATCGAGTCAAAATAAATCTTCACTGAATTGCTTTCGTATTTTAATGAGAAATGTTTTGTTGAAGGTGAAAGTAAACGGCTCCGTCCAGAAGTCGAAGAAACACCAGTCGAAATGCTTCGCGTCTCGTTTTATCAGTCAGTTTTAAATGAGTATCGTTAGACAGATGTGAAAGCAATATGCATATTCATCAACAGTGTATAAAAATTCTAAATGATTGTAACTTTTTCTGTAAAATGTTTCAATGATTTATTCTACTTTCAGTTTTCTTTTTGCAACAGTTCAAAAATTTTCATCCTAACGGTGATAGAGTGAATGATAGATAATGCTCGTAGTAATCGCCAAGTAATAGCGGCGAAACGTGGCTTAATCGCACTGTGTTTCAGCTGCTACGTAGCAGTCGGCTTTCGCAGTGAGCCATTAGAAATTTGGCATTTAAAATCGATGCGTCTATTGAGGCGTATGTCTCGAGCGTGTCCTGTTATCGTTGATATGGTTAATACATGTCTTACTGTTTTATTTGACAACTTGATTCTCAATTATTTTTGTTTCCGCATGGATACAGTATTATGATGAGAGTGATTATAATAATGATTTTGATATCAATTCTCATTCAGGAAATATACTTTTAGGCGTGGTCGGGAAAGCATCATGCTGTGAAAAAGGTAATCGGGGGTAATGTGGAACCAGTATTTCGAGAAAATTTGGTTGTACTTGACTTGGATTGTCACCTTTATCATGTTGTTGTGAAGGGTTTGCATGTTCGTGATGGAAAAGAAGTTAACTGTCAAGTTTGTTTTATGTTGTTCTATTATGACTGATACCAAATTCTTTCGAATGCTTTAACGAAGTCGTTGGTTCAAAAGTTGTTCTGAAAAATAATTCAAGATCTCAGTGTTGATCGTGGTGTTATTTCGGATGAAATGGTTATTGTTTTCAAATATATAAACGTAATATGTTGAAGACTATTTTGAAATTTCAGTGGAAAAGCGGCGTTGCTTCAATGAAATCGTTGGTGTGGAAGGATGATTTATTGGCGATGGGAGATTCATCAGGTCGATTAGGTATATGGGATCTGGGTAGGCGGCAGTGCCGACAAACCAGCGGATCACCGCGAGGACCCATTACAAAGATGACGTTTTCACGACTTACGGGCGACCATACGCTCGCAGTTTTGCATTCAAATGCCATCTTTTTATGGGACGCTGATCAGCTTACGGTTTTACAGGTTTTTTTCAGTCAGTGTAATCTTTTTCAAATCGTTGATTCATTGCTATCTTTATTAGTCTGTTCCACAGTGGATGGACTTTCTGCGTGACTGCAAAATGATCAAACAATGCTGTCGACAACATCGTATAGGAATTCTTTTAATGACAAAGTAGCAGTCTAAAGTAAACATTAGCCTGCTTTTTTCATTTATTGAAAGACTATAACTCGTTTGTTTCACTGATCCGATCTGCAAGATTTGATGGGCGGATGGGTAGTTGTTTGATAAACATCATCTTATTTTTCTTTCAATATAACGAATTATTTTGAAATTCATCGTATAACTTAACATTCCAGATTATGCTGATCTCTGCTAATCGTGTAGTCTTTTGAGGAAACATTAAAATTCTTAAAAACTTTCAGCAGTTGAATTTGGGTAATTCACTGACGTTGATTGACTTGGATTTGTGTGGAATATGTCCAGTAGTTGTATGCTCAGACAACTCATTTCGTTACATACCATCTGCATCTTTCAATCTGCCATTACATCAGCGCGGTATTTTTATAAATATTTCCCTTTGCATTTCCAATTTTGAAATCATTGCTCTAGAGCAATCCCTTTGTTTTATATATGTCAGTTATGTTCCTTTTGACTGACCTTTCAATCTATCACCTCATGAGGATCATATCAATGCTGATACTCATAAATTATTTGGCGATAAGTACTGGTGGGTTTTCAGATATTCCTATGGTACTCCATAAGGAAGCTTTGAGCATGCTGATCAAAAACGATCAATCTGATTCAGAAGCTGGGCCATTGCTTGAACTATTCAAAGAATCATTGCACTGCACCTCGCAATTGCCAAACTCGATGGCAGGGAGTTCGTGTGATAATTGTGAAGTGTCGAATCATGTAGCCAAACTGAGAAACTCTCCATCGAAAACCGATTCTGCAGACATCTCTGCAACAGATAAGGACGCTAATGATTTAAAGGCAATAGCCAATCAACTCGGTAACGTGTTAGATACTGATTCGAATTCCTGTAGTGAAAATGGTTCATCAGTGGATCATAATACTCATGAGTTGTCAAATGGAAATGAAGAATCGAGTGACCGGAGGATATTGAAAAATGACGGTGATGCTGATCAAGGAAAGGAAGACATTTTCAAGCAGTATCGAACAGCACATCGAATACTGGGTAATAAGTGGTTATATGATTTATGGACAGTGTGCCAGTCAGTTTTGTATGGCATCAAGCTACCACCTTCACTTTTCACATTTTGGCCTGCACAGTTAACAAAGGTTCATAATTTTGTTGCGTTCTATCATCTATCGTTCATTTTTTTTTAATTGCATTTAGTTCGAATTTGTAATGTAATAGTTTCTGGAAGACGCCTGCAACGAAAACTCATTTGAGGAGGATTAATTGGGGTAGGAAAATTATCGAATGTAATGCGGTTCAAGTTTTTGCTAGTTTCGTGCATTTTGTTCGTTTCTAGTTCTAGTCTGTTATTCTTACTATTAGTAGGATTTATTCTTGCTATTATTTTGAAGGAATTTTCATTTTAGCGTCGTGTCGACATGCTTCTTTCATGTCTTATGAGCACTGCTGAATTGACATCTGCACAAGTCGATGTTCTTGTGCATCGGGCTGTTATTCTTCGCAAGGTTAATGCTCTTTTTTGTATTATATTAATGTCCTGACAACGCAAATAATACTGACATTAAAAATAACGTCAAATATGTTCATCATCACAGTCATTAATGTCGATATTTTTATGCGGTTTGACGCAGTTTCGACTAGCTGCAATGTTCTCATTGCAAGTACCTCTATAATCGTTGGTAGATTTGTCGTAGCGTATTTGGGTATTTTGTTGCTGGTGCGAATATGTCTTCAAACAGCTTATTCAAGTCGAACGTTTCACATTCGAATATGAAATACAGACATTCAAAAATTCTATGGTAAAGTGTAGTTTTAATGGTACTTTCGAAAGGAAGCACTTCTAATTGCTAGGTTTCATTTGGGTTCCTTCACGCCAATCGTGAAACTCTTTCCTCACCTATTTTGCACTAAATCTCCAAAATTTTCCATCAGCAGATCTCTATCCCCTCTATCAATCATCTATTTATTCCTTGCTTATTAGTCCAGATTGTCAAAAAATGCAGGAAAACGTGATATTCCGTTTGTATGCCCATAGTTATCTTTACTCTCTATTTCATCTCTCACGCATCAGTGATTTTCCTCGTTTTTATGGTTAAATCCCCCATTATGAAATGTTCATTCATCGCTAAAATGTTCAAATTTCAATTCAGTTATGATTTGAAAGTCTAATCTGATCGGTCGATTACCTTATCTCTATTCGAAGTAGCAATGCAAGCAACAAAAATATGTTGCTCTCTCAATCTTCTTTTCGAAATTTGATGCGATTTCCTGACGATTTTTTTACTTCAGTGATGAAATTTCTTATTTGAGTTCCTGACCGACTGCTTCTTCCAACGAATTCTTTTGATGATCGTCTGAATTTGATCGTAACTCCAACTGGAAAAGTGAATCCCTTGTTGAATTTGAAAAAAAATGTCTCTCGTTGAGAGTGCAGAAAGTTTGATTTTCTCCTTTTCGCTGAAGTATCGACCGATTAGTTTAATATTTCTCTTATATATTTAGTTTATGACTATTGTTGAATTTTTAAATCCACCATTGTTGAATTTTAAAGAGATCTCTTTCAGCGAGAATGGGCCATTCAAATGTTATTGAGTGCTCGTGAAGAATGTAGAGCGAGTGCACTTCGTGCATGCCTTTTGGCTGCAGAGGTATCTTCTGAAGGAGCGCAGAGTATCATAAAACTTGTTGCTACTAATTTGATTGCAAGCAATTGTATAACAGGTGCTAATCTCATTTCATAACTTGAAATATTACTCTTGTATCTTGCAAATGATGGCTGAGTAAGCTTTTCCTCTCCTCTGTTGAATTCCACTGGAGTTTCAGTGCAAACACTCTTTTATAAGATTGGAGCGATGGCAGAAGCAAAATTAGTGTAATCATGTTTCATTTCATGCGTTTTTTTGTTACTTCTATTATGTTTGGAGAGAAAAGTTAATATGGTTCGATGTGGAATTTTTATTTTATACACGTTTTTTTAAAGATGGCATTCAAATGTTGTTTCTGATTCAACATGGTGAGGATGCTTGTCGGTATTTGCAAGCACACGGTTCGTGGGAAGCAAGTCTCGCATATGCAAAGGTTACTCAAAAATTCAAGTTTTATCGAACTTCTAATCGTAAGTTTATTTCACGCCCCCCCCCCCCTCTCAAAAAAACTGCTCGCACATATATTACATTTTCACAAAATTATAGGTCTAACTCTTTTCTCCTCATCCCATTTGTGCAATTAAAATGTTTGCAACTTTCGTTTTCGGTTTGAATTTGCGCCGCAAATTTTACTGCTTCAGTGTTGTAGCTCCTCGTCAGTTGCTTCCCTTTTAGCTTTGGGGGAACGGTGAGTACCGTTGCATTTCTGAACGAAATTATTTTTAGATGGGTTTAGACGAACATGCTGAAGTTGGCTTGAAGTGGCTGGAACACCTGCTCGCATCAAATGCGCATAAGGTTTTTTGAATTTTCATTAAAGGGCAATTCATTGTTCAGTAATTATCGCCTGTAATATCGAGCCTTTTGTCTCAAGTCGCTGATTGCATGTGAACTGTATTTTGAAACAGAATCATGTTTTGCTGAACTTCAGCAAACGAATTAAATCATACTGATTGTGAATTCCAAGACTGGTTCATTTAAGAATTTGAGCTGCCTTCTTGCTGCGAGCCTCGGTGAGTGGGATCGTGTTTTGACGTTGTTGTGTATGAATTCGAAACCTGATACAGCTGCACAGCTCTTCGGGGCGCTGAAGGCTGAATGTGTACCGCTGAAGGAAAGCACAGCACAAGCAATCACTGATCGAAGGGTCAATTTGTGATCAGAAGCAACTCAATCGTCTAATGAGTAATCTCATATGTGGAGGTGGATTTGGAAAACCTAGTGTCAAATTAAATACGGGAAATTATAGTATTCATGTGGAAATAATTAGAACAAATACATATTTCTTCGGTAAAATATGGCTACTTTTTGAAGATGCAGCCACATGAGATGCATTTTTCTTTTGAAAATCCAAAATTTTTTTGGTTGTGTGTGATTCACTTACAAATAGTTCATTCCTGATCGCTCATGTGTCACTTGCGCAACGCGTATTTCCGTGTTGGATAATGAAGTAGGAAGCTTTATGAAGCGAGTTTAAAAATTTATAAATAAGCATAAGCCCAACTGAATGGCGCGGAAGTGCGCGTAGCGCAAATGATGTGTCACGTTCCCGAAACTGATCTTTACAATCACTCTTTGCTTTTGTAGATTTGTTATATGTTGTTCGATTTTGAGTTGATTATTTATGCAAACGTATGTTCTATATCCGTTGCATGAATTGAATCGTTTGCCACCAAGTTTATATTAGTTTCTCTTATTTGAATAACCCCTAGAAATATCAGGTCAATACTCGTCCATTTATGCAATTATTTCTGAAGTTGACGAATTCAGCGTTAGTTTGAAGAAGAAAGAACTATATATATAT